GATGCTTTTTTTCCTTTGTTGTTGTCTCGCCCCAACCTTTCAGGCCTCGGAGCAGGAAAATAGTTAAGAAAAGAGCAAACCTGCTTTGCCCCTGCCCCCCCTCTTTTTTTTCCCCCTCCCCAAAGCACATGAAGGCAGAAACTGAGAATTCTCAAACTCTCATGGAAGTTGTATCAAATAAGAGCTGCGTTTTTTATGGACATCTTTGTGACAAAGGCTATGACTTTACAAAAATCATGCAGACATGTATGAATTGTCCTGCTTTATCCGAGAGCTGGAAAAAAACCAGGCTGCCGTTAGAAAACGACATGATGTTTTGCTTGAATGGTCACCTATCTTAAATGATCAGGGGGAGATTGGCTGGTTTTAATCCAGCTTTGTCCAAGTTTTCCCATTTAGTAGGAGGTGTCCGTCTCCTCATCTGTCACCTGTAGGACACGGCAGCCCAAAGGGGACTGGATTTAGTTGGGTGGCGCTGGGGGCTCCTCCTGCAGCCCGGGGCACAGCTCAGCTTGGGCGGCGAGATTGCAAAGTACAGTTTACATCTGTAATTGCTAAGGTCATTTTTCCTGCAGCACAGCTCTTCCCGCGTCAAATGGACTGAAGCCATTTCAAACCATGTAAAAGTCACTCGGAGCTCTATTAAAAAAAAATATCATATTTAATAGAGGAGATTTTAAAGTTAGACATTATGAAGCATTTCTGCATTCGCCATCTAGTCACGGTAGTATTTTCTTTGCTGTTGTTTTTAGGGGATGCAAGGTGTGGTGAGCAGGTTCTCCTTGGCTTCCAAGGGTGCTGAGCAGGTTCTCCATGGCTTTCAAGACTGCCTTCTTGGATTTTTGGGAGGGTTTGGGTCATTGGTGATTTTGGGTTGGGTGGTTTTTTCCTATATTCTGGTCATAAAAAGGCAGGGGCGAAGTGGGGAGGAAGAAACAAAAATCCAGCAGTACTGGCCTGTGGTTCATTGAAGTGGTTTGGGCTTTTGCAGCTCACTGGTACGGCTTTGCCTTTGTTCTTCGATGCTGTTTCTAGCCCAGACACAGTTAGTGTTTCCCCCATTTCCCTGTGAGAGCATTTCAGAACCTTTTTTTGCCGGGAAAGCTGGAGGTCTAAACCATCACCGAGTGCCACCGGCAAGCTTGCCTGCTCACTCGGCCACTTTGTCACCAGCAGCTACGAAATCTGGTGGAATTGGAGAAAAGGCCACTGGGAGCTGGAGTGATGTGGTGGGAACCCTTCGGGGTAGTCAGGTCAGGCTGCAGTCCTGTGGAAGGCGTACCTCGGGAGGGATCAGTTGTGTGGAGCATCTTGGTTCAAACTCTGATGTCTCATGGGAGGTTTTACGTGAAATCTGCCAATAATTTGCTAGGCTGGGGCACTCTGGTGCTTCTCACCAGCTTAAACGTATCCTGAACTGGCACGATTTTGGTGGTTTTAGAGAGAGACATGGGTTCCTGCTGGCACGCCTGGCTTGTTTATAGAGCAGATTCTAAGCAATATGAATAATTGATATCTGGTTTAAGTTGGTTTGTTCTGTGCTACCAAGCTGTCCTTGGCTGGTCCCGCTCATTCTGCCCTGGTGGGTTTCTCCAAGACTGGGGGTTGTGAGTCGGTCCAAGGAGGTCCTACCCAGCGCCTGCCTGGTGCCTCCAGCTCTAAGGGAGCTCTTGCTGGAAGAAAAGAGGAGGAAATCCTTCTCCACCCGTGGTCTGCCTTCTGCACGGGCAAGGCTTCCTTCAGGTACCTGAGTGGTGAAGTTATGTTTCTGGAAAGCACATTGTTTTTCAGTCATTTTCAAAGATCCAGAGTGAATCTGCATTTGCCAGGGCAGACTACTTTCTGTCTCCAGTGGAGGTTGGTGGTATCATGGGTGGAAGAGGTCTTGGGCTTGGCTGTTGTGGTGTCATCTCTGACCTCCTCGCAGGATGTCACCTTGGTCCCCTTTCAGTGCCTTAGCCTCCTCACCACCACCGGGCAGAGATTCCATGGACCTGACACAGGGTTTGGATGAACCCGTTGAGCGCTCCTGACACGTGGAGGTCCTGGAGGTCCTCGGCTGCGAGCGTCGCTGCTCTGCTGAGCACCGGCAAGCTGCAGGTCCCGCGGGATGCAGAGCAGACGTGTTAGTGCCGTTTGCTGGAAGAGCAGGAGAAGGCAACCAGGCCCTGGGTGCTTGGGAGCAGCGGCAGTTTGCTGCCGCGGAGTTAAACTTAATGCACCAAACATCTTTTTGGAGGGTGGAAGCGGAGGTAGCGTGCGATCGGCAGGGAGGGGTCACACCAGAGCATCGCCGGCCCCCGTCTGCGCTCCCTACAGTTATCCTCCTCTAAGGATGGCTTCACCTCTAATCTCTGAAATTTTAACTGTGTGTGACCATCCGAGCAGAGCGATTGAAACAAATCTGAGAGCAGTAGCAGAAATAAAAACGCTCTGAGCAAGAGAGAAGTAAGCAAAGTGAGGCCCCACCCTCTTTCCCAGAAAAAAGCACCAAACATGCTCAATAAATGCGAAGGTAATTTAAAATCTGAATCCAGGAGACAATGTGACTAGGATTTCATTACTTAAGCAAATGGATTTGCTTTTAGTGGATTCAGCCACAGACTGAAAGAAGCTTTCCCCAAGGGGTAAACATTTTTCCTGCATTTGAAAGGCTTTTTTGTATGGTGGGGGGAGCTGGGAGGGGGGGCGGGAGTCAGGGCTGTGGCTGCCCGAGGAGCACCTGTGTTTGGGGCAGGTTTGGGCATTCCCAGAGCTCTCCTTTTTGGGCAGGTGGTTTTTGGGGAGCCCTTGTGGGTGAGGTGGCGGGATGCTGATGCTGGGGGCGTGCTGAGGCAGGGGGGATGCTGAGACAGGGGGGATGCTGGGGGGATACAGGGGCACACTGGAGGGATGCTGAGGCAGGGGGGATGTTGGGGGGTACAGGGGGATGCTGGGGGATGCTCTCTACGCCTTCCTCCGGCCGCAGGAGTTAACCAGCAGCAGTGCCAGCTCTGCAGACTGTTTGGAATAGTTTAAATGCTTTGACACTCTGGATGTACTAGATGGCAGGGGAGGCAGTTTACAGCGTAATTCATATGCAAAACTGCACTATAAATTTAAAACCTGTCTCAGTTGCCGTGGCACCACTAAGCATTTCATCAGCATACAGTACAGTATTTCTGCCATCTTTGTTTGCATTGCAGTGACTCATCAAAAGTCTGTCTTGTACCAACACTGAGAGCATTCCTCTGGCACTGATATTTCTCTGTTTTTAAAGCTTCGGTTTGAAACTGGCATTTACTTCAGGTCCCTAATCAAAGGGCTCTATTCATTGCAGAGAGCAGCCTGAATGTTAATCTGCATCCGGCCTATTCATTTAGATGCTGTGCGCTGCCGGGGAGATTTGACTTGGTAAAAGCTTGAGCTCCAGCAGATACAAACCCAGGGCTTGATACTATATATTTTTTTTATTTTTTTTTTTTCCTTCCCTGAGTGATTGTCGTCGCTGGGTGCAGCGTGCGGCCGGGCCGTGTGGGGGGACGCAGAGCCCCTCGGCCAGCGACCGCGCTGGGGACGCCGCAGCTGAAGGTACGTTCGCTCCCGGCCAGGCCAGGGGACCGGCAACTTCCTCGCTCGGAAGAATTTTTTTTAACCATGCAGATACAATTAAATTGGCTCCGAGTGTGTTCCCTTTTCTTCCTGTTACCCCGTGGCCTTGCAGATAGGACTTTTTTTTTTTTTTTTTTTTTTTTTCCCCAGCAG